CCTTTAAGAAAGTATGCTTAATAATGGACTGGTGTCGGAACAGAAGAAAAATTATTTTCCTTTTACCACTCAAAAAGCTTTGCTCTCTTACTCCAAATAAGATCAGATGGTTGGGACGTGAGGCATTTCCCAACTGTATGTGTTCTTTACAATAAAGTCTTGGGTGGAGAAAATGATCCAGTGATCATTATAGAATCGCTTCAGTGGGAAAAAAAAACTTAATAAAGGTTTTATAGGGTTACTTTGCAGCAATAGCAACATAATGGGTTTGTATAATGGTATAATCTCAAAAGCTATGCTTTGCACAAATGCATATGAAATCTCTAGGGATAGCTCTTAAAGGACATTTCTAAATGATGGTTGATTCTGAAAAAAATCAGAGAGCAGAAAAGGAATTTAGAAAAACAATAGCATAGGTTGTTTTTCATTGATCAATAGTCACAACAAGAGTAGGTCAGAAGGATGTTTCCCTTCTATAGTGGAACCATTAGTCGGCACATTCCAGTGCATTACTGTGCACATGACTTACCAAAGAGCTGGCGGTGGAATATAAACTTCCCGGCTAACAGGCCGGTGATAATGGCCAGGATCCAGCACATTACTTTCAGGATGTTCCACCCCAGGCCCGGGTACTTGTTAAACAGGAAGGAGAAGCAGTTGCCCACCACCATCATGTGAGCTTCTGTCTGGCTGTGGGAGATGGGGTCCTCTGCGAAGATGAGGAAATTAAAGAAGGTGACGAGGTAGGCCACGATGAGACGCGACCATGGGTGCTGGAAGTAGTAGCGAAAACAGGCATCTATTTCCATCCTGCTGAAGCCCCTCAGTCACTCAAACACCTAGGGGAGCAACAGAGAGCGGAACGTGTTTCTCTCAGTCAGATACTATTACAATCACATCAGCATGACCAGATTACAGAGAAAACACCCCCAAGGTTCAGATTAGATAGCTGAACATCACTGATGGTCCGTGTGGATTGAAATAGCTCTCAGTTGAGATAAATCAGTTCAGTCGCACCATAAATAGTACATGATATACAAAAAACAAACAAAAGCAGAGCAGCTTTCTCTTTACAGTCAGAAATATTAAAGAGAAATTGTGATTAGACACAAAAGTGACACCTTTTAGTAATCACTGAAAGGAGGACTCTACTTTTCTTAGATAAGGTGGAATCTGCAAAGCCTTACAAGCCCTCCAAGCTGTCAGTCGCAGGCTTTTAAAGGCTTATCCTTTGAGTCAGATGTTGTCAGATCTGTGCCTCCCCCCCCCCTCAAAAAAAAAACTGTAGCAGCTTTATGCAGAAGCTTTGGAGGGAACACTTGCCAAACACACTCTGGGATGGATTCTCTCTTCTGATTTCAGCTTTTCCTCACTGCAGGAAACCCGTCTCCAAACTGCTTCTCTATAACAGCCTTACTGACCTGAATGTTCCGAAATGAGTTCCCTGCTTTGACATCTTTTCCTAAAATACCCCTCGCAGCAGAAATTTAGGATGATATCACAGCCCCGGAAATAGAGCTGCCACACTCTGAACACCCATGTGGATATTAAATTTCACCAGCACCAAGTGTGTCTTCTCATGAAACGTCAACTCTAAGTGAAACTAATTGCGGATGACTTCCCAAACAGGGCCTGCAATCGCTCACTTTAGATAATATCCAGATGTGTATCTTTTTTTAATAAAAAATAGGCACTAACAACAAAAGATAAATGGGTAGATGCACGATTTCACAAAACCCTTTTCTATAAAAAGCAACTTTTACAAAGGAGCTGCAATTCTGCTTTGTGTGTATTTCGGTCAGTGATATCATAAGAGGAACTAAGAAAGATCTGATCTGCTAGTTCAACCATGTTTGAGCCAGGGACGGACCCTGATGACCTTCAAATCATTATAGATACGGCCACAATTACAGGTGCTTGGCTCCAGGTACTCAGAGATTCACTTCCATACAGAAACCCCACATTCATATCTTCTGGTAACACAGAGTACAGTACATGTCAGACTTAATAATATTACTTTAGCGAGTTTCAAGGTATTGCTTTATTGTATGTCTCGTACCATGTCTTTCGGTTGTGCTGTTCTTTTTTGATCTCGTTGCAGGTGATGAAGCAGACTGAAAATGTTTTGTCATTATCTCCTTTCTATCTCTACTTTCTTTCATCTTTTCTCTTTTTCTTACTTTTTTCCTTTTCTTCTTCTGTTTGTCTGCTCTATATACATAGCAGTGTCCATATAAACTGTAAAACCCCCTGCATAATTATAATAAAGCAATTTATATGCATGAAACAAGTGGAGCAGTATGGCAATTGCCATACTGCTACACTTGTGAAAGTAAAAATCTGTTGGGCTCTTTTTGGCACCAAGACAATTATTCTTATTGCCACATTGTCAGACAGAACACTGTTAAAAATAAATAAATAAATAAATAGATACGGCCATCGTTGGCAAATCCCAAGCAAATGCTGACAATGATCACCTTCCGAGCTTCCACTTGAACACATTCTGATATATTTGTATTTAAACGCATCAAAGAGATAGCATGGTTTGCTGCTGAAGATCTTCCATAACAATCCATTTTTGAAACTGCTTCTTTGGAGGTATATGTCAGAAAAGTATTTTCAAAAAATGTATATAAAAAAGTACAGGACTTGATTTTAATATGTAATAAAATGGACTTTGAATTGCACCAAGAGAAAGCGTGTTTACTTGTGTTAAAATAAGGAATTCTGGCATAATTTATATTCCTGATACCTATGATGAAGTTGGAACTCTGAATCAAAATAAAATGCTTGATCTCAAAGATATTTTTAGATACTGCCACTGATTATAAAACAGATGATCTGCCACATTCCTTATAGGTCACTCAAAGATTATGTTTGTCATGGTACATTAGTAGATATTTACAATCCTGAGGGATAATATTTTGCCTTTGGATAAAAATGCATTCTGCTTACAATATTTATTTGATTAACTAAGCGCAGTTGAGAGATCCTAATCAACATTTTAGTGCCTATTTTAGACCTAAAGAAGGAAGCCAGAGTACCTGCAGACAAACCACACATGCATGTAAATGCATGCAGAAAGATACCAGGGATTTGAATCCAGGACCTTCTAGCTACAAAGAAATAGTGCTAGGTGTGTTAGTTATTCAAACAATTCTTTTCATATAGGTAGTTGGGAATACTATTTTCTTGATTAGCAAAAGTACTAATGGCCAGGTGAGTTGCACAACAGTTTGTTAAACTGCTATTTAAAAAGTTGCAGCAACATTTAAATATGAATGAAAAAAGAAGCCAAAAAAATGACAAAATACACAGTCTTAGTAAGTTGATGTAGAATAAGAAGCAAACTGTAGGAGGAAATGAAGAGTACTTTTAGTGGAAGTGGATGGTGCAGCTGTAGGCATGATCACTGATACAACAGTAGCATAAAGCATTTAAATGCAGGCTCACCAATAACAACAGAGTTTGTTTTTTAAATAAAATTTAAAAGAGGAAAAATGTACCATCAGTTGTTTGTTATGTGAAAATCTATACAGAGGATGATTTTGAGTTTAAATATAGGTAGATCTAAAGTTGTATTTCTCATTTGAAGCAATGGTCTAAAGACATGCAAGAAAAAAGATGGGCCCAGACAGGGTACCCAAATCTGACCATTTTTTAGAATGATTAAATATTAAAAATAAATAATGAAAACTGACAATCTCTGATAGGCTCCCCATGGAAATACAATCCTTGAACAAAAGGCACTCATTAATAATCCCTTTTATTATGATCCTCAGGGTGAATGTTATCATAATAAATTAATTCCCCCAACTCATGTCTGACACTCTGCAGGTGATCCAGAAAATAAAGGCAAAATGAACCTTTGTTTTCCACCACCTCTGCTAAACTAATGTCACATCAGACACATTTCTATTCGGAAACGCAGGATGCCCAACCAAAATATCTGATTATACAACCGAAATGTCTCTTTATTGGGAGGTTAGATGTGAATTCGCTACATTTAAAAGCGCATTAAGACATCTGGTTCCTGAACGCACCTGCTCCTCCGTCTGCAGCCAGGACGAGCTGCCCGCATCAGGTCCACAGCGGCGCTCTGATCACCCAAAAACACCGGATGATACGGTGGCTTTGGTTTGAACGGGGATTATCCATGTGACCTGTTGTCAGCCGACGGCAGAGTCTCCCCCAAAATCCTTAAGCCATTGTACCCCCCGGTCCGTGAACGCACCGGGCGCAGATCCCGCAGCACATCACTGCTTGATGGAGATCTTCAGCAGGCAGCAGCCTGACGGTGGCACCGCTCGAGCGTGGATGGAAGAGATCAGCTCCATACATTGGACTTAAAGGTACAGTGTGTAATAATTACAGGGATTTACTAACATAAATAAAATGTATTATCTATGTGTTTGTTATTTCATATTCACATATGAACTGGAATTCTCAATGTTTATGTTTGCTTTGCCTTAGAAATCGATATTTATAAATACAGGGGATTCACATTTGTGGAGGCAGATATCTTTTGCACTATGGCCAGGGGCGGAGCTAGATGGGGGGCCAGGGGTTATCACTACCCAATCTATCCCGGAAGCATGATCCATTCTGCGCATGCGCAAACAAATACATCTGGGTGTCCATAAATAATGTAATTATAGTACTAGAATTACTTATTTCTACCCTTAACTCTTCAAAGAATGCTAATACCCATCCTTAAAAAAAAAAGTTTTATGAGTTTTGTGAGACAAT